TACAATACTCGTATATATTATTCATTTGTATCTCCTATAAGACTTTTTAGACTGCAAACTTCAGTTTCTCTTTGTTTCATTCTCTGTGTTTCTCTGTTGCTCATACTAAGGGATGAATCCTATTAAAACTGTATGTAAATTTCATAGGCCTAGTTTTATAGCATGTATAGGAATCTGCCTCTCTGAATTGCAAATTTCACATTCTGGATTGCTCACTCAATCCCAGTTACACGTGCGCAGCAGGCAAGAATACAGTCTGAAGGGATCTGCCTGTCAGGAGAATCTGCATATGATTGCTCTCTGTGTATGCTTGCAGCCTTAACTGCAGTGCTTCTGTTTTTGTTTAAAACCTCCTGGATTGCCCAGTGACACTTCGCAGTTTATCAGTACCTATGCAATCAGTTACTTGTTAACATTTTTAATTCAGTGTTAACCAGTTGGAAGTTTAACAGAAGTCAAAATTAATTTCATGATTTCAAGTCAGAAGATGGTTCCTCTTTTTAGGGGTATTAAGTTTTTATAGTATTTAGAAGTATTCAGAAATATCTCAGATAACACAGTTATATACTGTGGAGTACATTTCTGAAAACTTTCTCCTTTCCTTTGACTAGAAAGCCGAGAGTGGTGCCTTGGAAGTGGAGATTTGTTCTTCCATCACTGTTGGCTAATATCACGCTGTTGGTACTAAGCAGACTTGTAAAACACCTTCATTGTCCTCAGTCTTTTTATGGCTTGCCTACTGAAGTAAGCAGCATCTATTCTCCTACAGAACAGTCCAAATTGCAGTTTAGACATATTTCTATGGAATAGGGGCTTTAAGCAGTAGTTTTTCTCATCAACACCTTTAACAAATGGAGGCATAGGATTCAATTTCCAAATCAATCATCTGTGTAATTTGCAAAATACGTTGTAGAGTATAAACAAATAAAAAATTAGTTGTGCAAATTTACTGTATCTATTACATATGTATAGCAAATTTTATCTATCTTGTTTCAAATTATTGCTACAGCCAGACCACTAGAAGATGCTGAGAATGGATTTTGATAGTTTATTTCCTTTACTACCAGTTTCAGCCTTTAAATTTAGAAGAAAGTCAGAATGATTATCTCAGGCACGACAGTTTATATGAGCATCAAGAGTAAGAAGCTGCATTATTTTGTAATGTCTAGCCCTTGTAAAAAATATGAAAGTTTGCACTTGTATTTTTCACTTGTAAGTGTTTCATCTTTTACAAGATCCTTTGTGCAAATTAAATGTGGTTTTCTTCTAAAAGGTGTGCCTGCTGCTTCTTTGGTAACCCCTGCTGATGTCATCAAGACAAGACTGCAAGTGGCAGCTCGCGCTGGTCAGACAACGTACAGTGGAGTTATTGACTGCTTCAGAAAGATTCTAAGGGAAGAAGGCCCTTCAGCTTTGTGGAAGGGAGCTGGAGGTGAGAAAAAAATTTTTAAGGCTGACCCCAAATCTGCAAATTAGCACTGGCTTGGTTAAGGACAAATCAGAGAAGTATTTCCAAGGTCTGATTGTGAAAAACATAATACCTTGTTAAAAATGTTTAGCTTCTCTCCTGAGGAATTGTTTTATATGTTTAACACTATGATTTGTAATATTTAACAGCTCGTGTGTTCAGATCTTCGCCCCAGTTTGGTGTTACTTTGGTCACTTATGAGCTTCTGCAGAGATGGTTATATGTTGATTTTGGAGGCCAGTAAGTCAAGCATTTGCTATTTAACTTGCACAAAACAACTGCCAAATGTAAAGAAAAAAAGCATAAACTTTTTCATGCATAGGATGACCCATTAAAACTTGTTGACTTGAGCACCTGTACTTAAAATTGCAGCATGTAAAAATCGCCTGTCCATATAAGAGGGAAATTTGCATGCCACTTCTAAACAGATGAGGAGATAAAGAGCCATTTAATATTTATTTCAGTACACTAATTTGTATTTCCATTGTAGCAAGATAGTTTTATCCATTTTCCTCATGACACTGGAAGCTGAAAGCATTTACAAAAGTATCAGTAAAAATGTGACTTTAGTTTTGGGTTAGAGTTAAAATTAAGTAGTCGTCTGACCTCATTCACCTCACCATAGGAGTCAGTTAATCAAGGTCAGCTTTAACAGTCTTCCATATTCAGACAAAAGACTTAAGTATTTAAGCCTGAATAAGTCTTAAGAAAGTTCTTATGAAATCTAAACTAACAAAATAACCTATTTTCTTTGTTCAAACAGCAAACCCGCTGGATCAGAATCTACCCCAAAAACACGAATTTCAGATCTTCCTCCTGTTAACCCTGCACATATAGGAGGATACAGACTTGCTACAGCTACGTTTGCTGGTATAGAAAATAAATTTGGTTTGTATCTTCCAAAGTTTCGAGCTCCTGCCACCACCTCAGCTCAAGCACACAGTAGCAGCTGAGTCCTGAAAAGAGGTTTCAAATGAACAAAGTGATGCAGTGGAAAGAGTTCACAAGAGTACTGCTGTATTATTTTCCAGTCAGCTGCATGTGTTCTAGCTGAACTGAGCTTGCAAATCTAATTGCTCCTTTCAAATATTCATACATACCTGCATTTATTTATTTATTTGCACACAAGGAACTGATTGAAGCTGTGGTTCTCTGCCTTGTTTTAACCAGTGGCATGAAACTGTAGCCTAGACTTTGCCTTGCACAGCTTACATTTAATGTTACTGTACATATTGTACATCTTTGTACAGAGACATCAGGGCATCTATACACGTACATTTATATAATGGGTATTGCAGTTTAAAATAGTTTGGAATGTACAGATGTTTTGAAGGTGTTTTGTTAACATCGTGACAATAAAATGTTTAAAAATGCTTGTGTCAGTTTGCTTCTTTGAATTTCTAGGAAGTTGTCTGGTATGATTGTTTTTCCCTCCACAGAGAAAATGTGAAGATCAGATGCACCCATTTAATGAATGGACAGGACAGGACAGAGCTCTGCAGGAATGCCCTTCACTGCTAGTTACAGCAAAGGAATTGAAATGCAATGTGCTGGCTTGTAAGTGTTAGAGAACACAGTAATTAGATGAGCACATGCCATATTTTATTTTGCAGCACTACTTTGTGACAAGCAATTCTCTCAATACACATGGCAATACTAAATGTGTAATAGATATTACTTCTATAGTAGCATATTCAAAACACAATGAGAGACTTGCCAGTTACTAGCACACTCAAGAATTTTTACAGGACTTACTACTCAGAGTGCCTTCTTTTTCCTGAATAGAAAACTTGTTACAAAAGAAACTGAAAGCATTCTCCTTAGTTCTAGATTGTTTTACCTTGAAATTAGGCTATTCTGTGGGGGGGTGAAAATCTACTTACTTCTGTATTATTTTTATATGCAAAACTCATTGTTTGTATGTACAGGTAAGTGGAAGCAAAAGCAAAAGTGAAAGGTTGAACTATTTCCCTGGTATAATACTGAAATGCAAAAATGTCAAAGGAAATAAGGGAGTTGAGATTTCTGCTGTCATGGAGGAAAGTTAGTCACACCGTCCTTGCAGCCAGAGAGGAGATGGGTGGTTTCCAGCCTTGCTTACTGAAGTGTTACATGTTTCTTACATGGTTAAACATCCTGGAATAGAGTATATCCAAAGCATATAAACTGATTTCAGGTTCTGTTTTTTTACTTAGGTGACAGCAGGCCCATCAGGGATTAAGTCAGTTTATGAAGAAATGGCTTACTAAGAACTGAACACTACACAGAGCAGCCTTTCTCCTGCTCTAGCCTCTAAGGAAGCTAAAAATTATTTTGGTGCTGAATAATATATAGTGAGCCAGAGGTTACAATACACTGACCTTAGAAGTTTGATCACTATTCTGCAATATGAATATAGATAAACCCAGGAGAAGGCTTCCTTCTTTATTTGTTGCAATTAAGGAATTTCTTGTTCTTTTTTCTGGATAGAGACAGGCTTCTGGGAACTCTACTGTAGCTATGAATTTTGTCTTGCATTTTTCTAAATAAGAGAAAAAACGGTGGGGACCCCCTGCATTTAATCTAAGTCACAGCTTTGTTGACTGCCTTGATCAAGGCCTTAGGAGACCTGACAATGCACAACAGCATTTCTATTTCTTGCAGCTCCAAAACTGGACAGTTTGACCCCCAGAACCCTCATTTACAGCATCTAGCATCACTTTTGGTCTTAACGTCACAGGTATGGCTTTTGCATTTCTAATCTGTACTCAGCTATTCTGTGAGGGAGGACCACAAGCAGGAATAAAGATAGAGTAGTATTAAATTTAATAATTGAAACTACACAAAACTAGTGCCATATGATCTGCATGTATGCAAAAGAAAGCCTTACCTACTGGACTTCTGAAAATAGAAGTGTGAGGGAAATGTATATTAGTCAATGAAAAGTAATCTTGAAAAATCCCACGAGAACAACCAACCAAAAACCCCAGCACCCCCTCCCTTCAAAACCATCAAACCAAGAGAACTTCTGCTCATTAAGAATTCTTCTGCCCAGAGGTACAAACCATCTCATGATGTGCCTGTTCCTTCACAGTTCACATGCTTCTCATGTGAACAGAGCTGCTGTTGTAGGGTTGTGGAGAACACACAGGATAAATGTCTGCATGCTGAGCAGCACAGCTGTGTTGAAAAGGGAGGGACACAAACTCTTGAAATGCTAACACCAATGGAAGCCTAAACACATTTCACTTCTGGACCCCCCCAAAAAAAACTTTCTGAAGAAAGAATTGCTATTACTGCTGTGTCTCCACAAGCTGCTCATAATAACAACACTAAGAGAAAGAGAAAAAAAAAACCCCAAAACTAAACAGAAATGTTAAACAACAAAGAAACAACAATACTCCTGGACATGAAAATAATTGAGTAATATAAACCTATTTCCTATTTTTAAGCATATAAAAACAGCTCTTCTGGCAAAACAGTAAGCTTGTAAGAGATTAAGAACTAATGTAGAGTCCTAAATTAAAGGCTACAAAACTGATTTAGTGCCTAATTAGTAAAACTCAAAGTATTTATTAAAAAAAAACAGCCCAAAAGAAACAGCCCCCGTGAAACCCACTGTGACAGAAAACTTTATAATGTGCTAAGAAAAAAAAGTAACCTTTAACAGAAATTACAATGATTCTGTTTCAAGCCATTAAGAAGTCTTGTTTTGATAAAAATGTTAAAAATCCATAATAATAAAAATCTTGAACTTAGTACAGAAAATTAGTAGCAAGTCTGTAGTTAACAGAGTGAAAATCATCATGGTATATAAATTAAGATAAAGTCTAGTTCCTTATCCTTTGGAAAAGAAAAATTTGGTAATGGGAGCCTTTTTGCTATTGGGCCATTGCCACTGCAGTAAGGGGTGGCTGAGGGTAGAAAACAAGGCTGTGATGTGTGTAGTAAAACAAAGGATCAGCTCCCAGAAGCTTTGAACTACTGCAGGAACACACATTAGAGGTCAGGGCAGCTGACAAGTGCTCGTATAGTATTTATTTATGAATCTGTCTCACCTTTTAATGCACCAATTCAAACAAAAGGAAATAGTATTAAATATGTATTTCATTAATTCAGGTCTAATTATCACATAAGTTTGTAACTACAGACAAATTTTTATTCACATATATTACCCACTACCAGAGTCTGAGGCTTATCTATATATAAACAATGAAACTTAGAACATATGCATGCATATCATGGGTAACTTGAAGAGTTCAAAGTCAAGAATGCTTCAGAGATTTACTGCCTAATGAAGGTTAGTCTGTAATACAGAAAGTTTTAGGAGCAAAACTTTTCCTTTTCAGAAAGATACTGTTTCAGATTGGACTTTACAGAAGCCAAGTAGTAAATTTATACCAGGTTAGTGTTTCAGCAAAAGAAGATCCCTGCAAAGTTAAGTGTATTAAAAGTTACACAAATCCAAGAATGTACCTGTAATTAATATATAAAACAAAACAATGCAAGATCCGATTTCCAGTGATCTTGATGTATTTCAGAGTCCATTGCTGAATCCATATATTCCTCCCTGTGCTGTGATTAGAAGTGACCCCTGGGGTCTGCACGCAGCGGTCCCCGCGGGGCCCTGCAGCGGGCTGGCGGCCCTAGGCCGGGATGCGCGTCGCGGCCTCCTCCTCCGCGTCGGCTCTGTTGGCGTTGATCTCCGCCAGCGTCCGGCCAAAGCGAGTCCACTCGTCCCCGCGGGGAACTGCGATTTGCTGTGACACACAGAGTGTTACTGACACCTCCTGAGGAATAAAGCTGGGCTCATTCTGAACGGCACAGCGCTTAAATATGTTCAGAAGAGGTTCCAGTTAAGCTTGCCTTTATTTTAGTGTAAGCCTCAAAAGCTCTAACTAATAAAGAAGCAGAATTAAGCTCTAACTGATAATGAAGCAGAATTTGAGACTCCTGCACTGAAGTGTAAAATGATTATTATTACAAACTTGTGCTACGTATCTCCACCTGAGAGACTGCCTTCAAAGGGAATGCTAATGCTATATCCTCATCCCATCCATTAGCCAGGTACTACGGCAGTACGCATACTTGCAAGAGCAACTGCTTCCCTCTAAGAACAAAATCAAGGCTGCTCCACTGCAAAATTTTTTGTTTGTTACTTCCCAAGCAAGGATCAGAATTCCTGTGTGCCACAGTTACACAGAAGATAAAATTTCTATTAAAAAAAACATTGATTTTTATTTCACCAGCCTAACAGTAAAGCTTTTTCTGTTTGACTGGATGACAGCATGCTAAAAAGTTATGCTAGAACACCTTAATTAAAACACTACTAGGAAATATTAATTCAAAAATACAAATTAAACCTAATTATTTTTCCTCCAATGACAAGAGAAAAAAATGAAAAGCAGGCTGCTAAATAAAGAAACCCAAGTGCTTGCAATATGCTTTGCACAATGCATGACATACATACCTCTCCCACGTCATATATAACTATCTGTCCCTCTGAGTCACCTACAGCAATCTCTCTCCCAGAATGTGTCCATCTCACGCGGTTCAGAGCAGGATTGCCCTCCACGGTGATGCTTGCAGTGGGTACCTGCACCAATGTGAAACACATTGCTAAAAATGCATCAGGTAACCATAAGCTAGAGATAACAGAACGCACCTAGGCCATCTGTGCTGCAGCAGAAGTGCCCAACACTGCAACTGGTGCATGGCATGCAGATCAAGGACACAATACAATACACCTCAGTGGCCTTAAGCTATCACCAGTGACATGACCACAACAACACATCTGTCCCTTGGCCAAAGTACAAACATCTGCTATCAAAAGGCACATCTGCACTCTTGTTGTGGGACAGGAGGCACAGGTATGTTTTCAGGCAGTGATGAGGCACCTTGGGATCTCAGGAAGATTATGACAGAGGACAGGGATGAAAGCAGCTGTTTTGGCAGGTCCCTGTCCAAAAGGCTGGAACAGGCAACTCCAACTTAAAGCCACAGGCTGGCATACGGTCCTACAACTCTCTTCTATATGTAGTTTTCAGATGGTGAAATTTAAGTACTAAGTATCTGTCAGGTTTCTCCTCTGATTTTCCTCCAGCAAACCTTGGATAAGGTTTCCACTATAATGAAGTTTACAACCCACACCAGAAAAGCAAACATTCAATTCACAAAGTTAGAAACAAATGGCACTTTCACTGCAGTATTACTGTGGCAACAGGAACAGCAGTGGTGTGTGGTAACAAAGTTGTTCACACTGTTGAACTGCAGGCTGACAAGGCCTCGGGGTGGGAGGTCTATAATCACTTTCACAACATGGATCAGTGTTACACCAGCAGATGTTTTGCTGTCTTGTTATAGGTAAAACAATTTAATTACTGCTGTTTTTCGTTAAGAGGAGTCATTTGTAACCCTGTAATCAAAGAATGCTACACAGAAACTACTGGATCTACTACACAGAAACTACTGAAACTACAGAATATTTAAAAACAACAAAAAACAAGCTATGGTAAAAAAACTGCACAAACTATGGTAAATACCCAACTACTTTTTTAAGAGTACAAACATTTTTCCAGCTGTATTTAACAGTTAACCTGACTTCTCACCTCAGTATCATTGTTGAGATTCCACAGGTCAAGCCTGCCCATCCCATCCACACAGGCAAACAAGGCAGGGTGAGTTGGAGACCACATCACATCATAAACATAATCAGAATTGTCTTCAAAGGAGTAGAGAGGTTTGTTATTCTGAAAACAAGCAAAGATAACAATGCGATACCCAAACCCTACATTTCAAAATTATAAAACTAACAGGTAAAGCAAAACACAGAACTTCAACAGTATTACCAGCAATAAGTAAGAAGTGATTTGCATTTTGACTTGCTTTAAAAAATGCCACTGCAAAAATCAGCCAAAACCTAATGCTTTTCATTATTAAAGGTATGCTTTCCAAACCATGCAGCCATTTTCCTGGCTGCTACTATAAAACAATCAACAGCAAGCCAATTATAAATTATAAATTTAATGCTTTAAGAACTGCAAATCAAGCCAATGATAATTCAGTGACTATTACACAGAGATTTTAACTCTGCTTCCTCTGCTTTGCATTCCTCAGGGCATCAGACTAACAGAGAAAAAAGTAATTCTGGCAATGGAAATGAGATATTTCAACTGTGAGCCTCATCAAGTTTAACTGACATCAGTTTTGGTGCTGTCCCTTATTCCTCCAAAAAATTGTAGCAAAACATTTGCCTTATGAATATGTGAGGTAATTGACTTTAACATGATTTACATTTGATTACATTGTAGTAATTGTTGATAACAAAGGGCAAAAGTTGAAAAGAATGGATCAAAACTACACAAATGATGTGCAAGCTGAAAGCAAAGTTTTATGCTGTTAATCTTAGTTCTGCTCATCAGCTGTCTCCTCTTTGCAGGACTGCAGCGAAGAACCTCAGAACTTCACATAATTTGACTTCAGGATTGTGAACTTCCTTAAGTAGCTTACATTATAGCACCACCTTGTGTCAAGGGCTATGAAGAAAACCACTGAACTATCTAAGTTACCTTCGTTGTCCAAAGCTTTACTGTCCAGTCAAAAGAAGAGGTGACAAAAAGATGTGAGAAGTCTACAGGTCCAACTGCTGCATGGCAGTTGATACCTGTGATTGGTCCCTGGTGTCCTTCAAACATCTCACTGATTCCAGCTTTGCTGTTTCAGAATATACAACCAAGGTTAATTGATTTGGAAACCAAACATCTGCAGACAGAGATAGCACTGAAATGCAATTTAAACACAGCCACAAGAAGATTTTGCTGCCTTATATGGATGTTACCTCACTGCAAAAGGCTGCACCACAAGAGGATCACAGAAGAACAGGCTTGAAAACAGACCTTAAGTTCAACTTGTATTTTCTACTAACTCTAAGTGCCAAAATATATCCTAGGGACACGAGACTCATTCAGGTACCAGACCACACATTTAACTACATTGTCCTCCAAGCAGTAGCTACAACTTCAGTTCATACAAAGAATAAAATCCAGACTCAGGAATAAGCATGAAACTCCTATTAAATTAAGAGAAGTTGCATATACTTTAAGGGCTTGAGGTTCAGACATAAACCAGTAACAATATATCCCTAATAGCCTCCTATCAGGGGTGATGAAAAAGGAGGGAAACAGATGGGAAGGATGTTACACAAAAGTGATACAATTTTGGGTATTTTGGAACCAAAAAATCTGTGCAGCAAGGTGATGTGTATTCGAGAAGAAACTGGACACTCAATTGTATTTAAGAAAGCAATTGATAAGATACAGTCAGACAATTTCAAAATAGATTGAACAGCAGGAGAACAGCCAGCCAATTTAAGATCCGTGCGTGATGTTACTGTACAATTATCTACAAAACTGAAACAAAGTTTGGAATGTTCTGCTACAATTCAAATGAATAAAACCACAGTGACCTATGCTGTCCTCATCAACACCAACAATTCTTAACACCAATTCAATATTCTAACCATTTCTGGTTTTAATAAAGCTCTTACTCAGGAAAAAGTGCACTGGAATTGAGACAGAGATACTCTGAACTCCTTCAGTGCAAAGGAGAAAGTATGAACTTAAAAAAAATTGAGTGTAAAGCATGCAGGAACTCATCCTTTCACTATTTTTATTTCCTTTGAAGAATTAAAAGTTTGTATTCACCTGCCATGACGGCATGCAGTGTACACTGAGCCTTCTTCACTGCCAACAACAAAGTTGTTGACATCTCCAATAGGGAAAGACATGCAGGTAACAGCCACAGCCTTGGACTGTTTGTGAACCAGCTCCATGCTATCCTGTAGTGAAAATATCAGCAACTTACTTCATAAAAAGAAATATTAACACCTAAAAAATCTTTCAATAGAAGGATTTTATTTTTCTACATTGGGCAGGAATAAGGAGGTTTTCTTACTACATTTGTGATCACCAGTAACACAAGTACACCAAAACTATACAAAAGAAACAACAGAAAATATTTTATTCCACAGGTGGGGAAATATTTTATCAAATATCAAGCTACCTGTGTTGGGAAAGTGTTGATTAATGTTTATGAGATCAACTGAATTTCTAATAAAATATTAATCTAGAATAGACACTATATATATATTTATTTATCAAAAGTTACCTTACCTGTGGTTGGGAAAGCATATCCAAACTCCAAGAGCATATTTTCCCATCAGTTGAGATACTAATCAAATTATGAGCATTCTGGGTCCCAACAACATTTACACAGTACACAGGGTGCTAAGAAAGAAAATATCAGAAAAGAATTTAGAAGTAATAACCAGTTCTGGTATAAGTATTGTACAGTAAAATACACAATTTCACCATTTAACAAAGCAAAAAGATTGATCCCGATCAAAAGTACAAATGATACTCTCCTATAAACCTGACACTTGTTTTTTCTGACCCTCTGATTTTTATGAATAGCCTGGTTCCTAAGTGTCAAAATATGGACATAAACATTTAAGCACTGCCAATCAGTGCCCTGGACAGAATTTCCTAGACACGAAACAGATCTCAGCAGGGCACAGTCCTTGCAGCCATTTCACCTCGTACCGTGTGAGCGGCAGCTGACAGTGGCGTTCTCTGCACCGGGGTTCTCTTATTGCTGCGATTATCCCACAGCACTATCTGGCCCGAGTATGTGCCACCAACCACCAGATTGGGATGGAATTTTGCAAATGTAGCTGACATCACTGCAGACTGAAAGGAAGAAAAACAAAGAACAAAATACACAAATGATCATTCAGTGACACTGTCGAAAACTAAAGGGAATGAGACCAAATATCACAACAACTTCTTTGCCTAAATTTATTCAGTACATTATTTCACCATCCAATTACTTAAGGATTCACCCACCCTTTGTAACCTCTCAACAGTCTTTTTATTTCAATTTATAATTATAAAATAAAGTTTTCCTCCTCTTTCCTTTCATATGCATACATCTGTATTCCTCCTGGCATAGTTTATTAGCAAAGGAAGGCCCAGTAACACACAGAATTTTAATAATGTTTTGCCACATTCTGTAGTCATTACTTCTTAGAGAATGTAGAAATACATTTTGATATAACAGAGTTACTTTTGCAATCTGGGCTTTGACAGTAATGTGACAATGAGGTTAAATTTTGATTCAACTGTGTAATTTTCCAAAATGATAGGAAAAGTGTGGATATCTTGGGCTTGGCATAATGGAAGAGATTTGCATGTTTTTATCTTTCAGAAAACTACTAGAAAACCTCCAACTGTCTTTTTCTTGATTCATATGTTTCTAGTTTTCATCCTTGTTCCATTTCCTCAGGCTGTCTTCATTTTATTCAGTGAACTAAGCTGTAGTACACAATCCCACTCAAGCCTCTTACGTACAAACCTTTGTGGTTTAACCATTACAAAAGAAAGTTTTCCTGTTTTTTAAACAAAAAAAGAAAAGGAGTTCTCAAACAAGACTGAATTCTGACTGATGTCAGAAATTCTGGAACAGAATAATATTTCTCAGCTGAAGTGTCTAGCTATAACATCTGTTGGCAAACGAATGTGGTTCAAGCAAATGCCAGCCCAATTAAATTATTATATTGACAAACATAAGGAAGGTACTTGTCCAAATTCATCAACATAAAATCCCTCCCAATGCAGAATCATACCTGGCAGTGAAAGACATACTCTGGGGTAGTTTTCTTGTACTTCATATTCCATACAAGGGCCACCCCATCAGGCTCATGAGGCGCATCCTCATTGTTGTTGTAAGAGGCTACAAGTAACTCTGGATACTGCATGGTAAGTGAAAAAGACTCAAAGTAAGCAAGATGACTGGCTAATGGTCCAGATAATCCTAGAATCTTTATTTTGCCAAAACAGGGTTAAAAAAACACCTTGCATTATAAAGGCATGAAAAATTGTCAGTTAAAACTGCAATTGTTGCTAATTTAGCTCCAACACCAGCATTCACATACACATTAGTCTTGTTCTCTCATCATAACTCTTTTAACTCTAAAACCCCTTTCTTTTAAGTGAGCTTTCTTCTTAGTGAAGCTGTTACCTCTGCAAAGCAGTCTATAAAGCAAAACCAACTTTCTTCACAATATGAATCTTTTGCTGCCTTTCACAAAAGATTAACAGCTCTACTCATGGTTTTGCAAACCATGGAGCACATAAGGAACATCTGTAGAAATACAGCCTGTATCAACTGTGCTTTTATGGGAATCAAATGCACAGAACTACAACAATTTACAAAGTCAACTTTTAAGTTTACTTCAAGCATTGTTTTTTACCTGAGATGACCAGTCCAGACAACTGACAACACGATGCTTTGACCAACGCTCATCAAAAAACTGCCTATTTAAGGACAGTTTTGCTCCCGCTTGAATCTCTCTATAAAGACAATTAGGAGATATTAATCTTAGATCATTTTTTCAATTAAAAAAGTTGGAAATTCACAGAAAAGTATTTAACATTCACATTACCCTTCTTTGTCCTCTAAGTCTCTTCCACTGTAGTCAAAGAAAATGTTGATTTGCTCAGAAAGGGCTCTTTCAACAATCCTTGTGGAGTGGTCAAAAAAACTTAAAAATTCTTCAGAATGCAAAATTTGCTGCTTTTCTTCCTCTGTGAGTTCATGAGGGGCAGCTGAAAAAAATTTATACAGACATTTTCTGGACTGCACACTTTCACCAGTTATTTTCAAGAAAGAAAAACAGTATTTATCGTGATTTTTAATAATTTTTGCATTTTATGTTTTGCTGGCTAATTAGTATTTAACAACACAATTAATTTTAAATTAGTAGAACAAAAAGTTAAAAAATGTATTAATGACTTTACAGTACTCAGAATGTTGAATTGAGATGAACTGTACCTTCTTCCTCCTCTTCTTTTTTTAATGTTTTTTCTTCTTCAGGTTCAACTAATGGTTTTGGTGCAACCACATCATCTTCCTCCTCCTCATCTAAGGAGAGACATTATCGTGAGACCATCAGTGTTTCCAAAGGGGAACAGTAACATTCTACATGAATCTCAAATAAGCTGATGTAAAATGGTATCAATGTAGCTTAAAATGGTTGCATTTGTAAAACGCAGTCCCAAGGATAACATTATCAAATCCAAAATATCATTGGAACACTGTCTCCACCTGGGTATCAGTTGCACTGAGTTATGTAGTTGCATAAACTGAAATAAGAAAGGCAGGAAATTGTAAAGAATCCAAAGTGGAAATCTGTCTTACAGGCATTTCTGATTCCACACAGAACCATGCGGTGGATGCGTGTTCTGTGTAACACACTGACACATTAATGCTGCGGAATAAAGAAAAATCAAATGTCTAAAATAGTCTACAGAGCAGCTGCTTACTTATGATCTGAAAGCATCAGTCTAATGGGCCTGCACATGGCATGAAGATGGCTTACATTAGCTTTCAGGTTGCTATTCTGAGAGGCAAATTTTGCTAAAGATAATAGCGGAGAGATTACATTTTTTCTGTCATTCTAGATGCAAGTCTCATTATATGTATCATGTTTGGCAATGAAAACTTTACAAGAAAATGTGTTTTCCCTAATTGCAATGAATAACATAAAATGTTAATGTTCAGGAATACTGACAAGGCTTACATCACTTTCTGCATTTCTACATTTTATTCTTTGAATACTGTGAGCCAGAAAATACCTTTAAATTACTCAGAATTGTGAGATATGCTGGCTTTTCTTCACCCACTTTCTAGAATAAGCTTCTGAAAAGACTTGTTTTTATTGGTTAAACAGCTACGTCATCTACTTATAAGGGAATGGCAGCAGGAAACTGCTGCATGCCTCATCACAAGTAATGAGACAGTATTAAACTGGGACTAGGATTGTTTGTTGCAGCCATCTTCCTGACCCATGTTCAAAGTTATCTAACACAAAAAGTAAAAAAAAAAAAAAAAAATCCACATGCATGCACACAAAAAGAGTGAAAAAAAAAGATGTGGTCAAGGGATGGGAACCAGCTGCCAAGCCATGGTCCCAGCAGCCAGGCCAGCTGACTAGATAGCAACAACCAGATGGTACTGCAAGGATTGTCTCTCTGCTATGAGGTGGCAGTGGGATGGCACAACATTTTTCTGCCTGACTGCTTCCAATCATGTCTTTCCCCAATGGCAAGCCTGTGCAATTACCAGCACTCCAGGAGGTCTACAGACAAGCCTTTACCCTGCAAACAAAATACAGCTTGTAGGCCATACCAGCTGCCAAACCACACACATAGTGATAGGTTTAAAGAGGTCTGAAAATCTTTCTAACTCCATAGTATAGGCAATAAAAATATAACTGTACCTGCAGGAAAGAAAGCTTTAAATGACACTGTATAATGCACACAATAATACAAACTCCAACTTAATCAAAATGATAATGACGTATGCCAATCCTACATTACTTGAAATTGAGCGATTTTTATGTTCTGACAAGTTTACAGAACTAGGATAAATGGCATGAATGATTTCAATATATGCTCATACTTTTGAACCAAATGGTGAAGGTTAAAATCTTTCCTTTCAAGGGCCTCAATCAGCCACAAAGGAAAACAGTAATCACTGTCTTTTCAGCCAGCCCAACCGCATTTGTCAGCCCTTTCTCCGTCAATGCAGCCAGAGCAATCAACCTGCCAAACATTCAGAATGGAAAAACAATCTGAAAATACAGGGTATAATGCACCTGCCAGTGAAAATGGCCATTTCAAGAAAAGCTAGTGATCTCAGTGACCCTGCTGAGGAGGCGGTGGTGCAAAGGGGAAAGAACCCGTAAAAGAATTCTTAGTGATCTCCACTCTCTTGCACATTGACACTTCCTTACAAAGCATGCCAATTACAGCTTTTGTGCTACTTAAAAAAAATGAAAGCTTTTTTGGGCAAAATAATCACGCAAAGAAACAGAAAGACACTGCTCCTTTTTCGATGGATTCGCATGCACGGCGGACTCATAACTTGAAAACTGTATAACCTGTGGCCATTTTAAAGAAGGGAACTCTCAATGTCAAATAACTGAAGGTGTGAACAATGATTAATTAAAAAATGCAATATGAGTTAATACACACAAATTTGAGAACAACACATACAGGATCATGTATTCAAATTATGGCCACTTGGATAAAAATCCCCCTCTTTTTTGCCCTGCCAATCAATCTTGCAGAACTAAATGATGCCTTCAAATTTAGAAACTTGGTTTTGGGTCACCCTGGATGCAGTATTCTAGCTTTGAAAGTCCCAAATTAGAAATTTCAGCCCAACCCCCCATTAGTCATACTACACTGATTCTAAGTACCATTTTCAGTGACAGGAGTCAAATTCTTGTCAAATGTAGATGGTCAACCCCTTAGTGCTATATGACCTTCTAATCTACATATTTTATTCAAAAGATCATATAGTTGATTGCTCCTGCCTTTTAATGTTTGAAACATAAATGGCATATATTATACAGAGCTCTAAATTCCTTCATAGTACTTTCACTGCATACAGCCAGCTGATACTACTGCATTTAAATGCAGGATACAGCATTTATTTTAATATTCTCAAAGTATCAGTCTTGAAACTGAACATGTCATCTCACTGATTTATCTGTAACTGCATAAATCTAAAACCTTCTCTCTAAAGAAGAGTCCACTCAAACTTTCTTATTAAGGGATCTGGAGAAAAAAACCCCAAAACTAAAAAAAAAAAAAAAACAAAAAAAAAAAAAAAAAAAAAAAACAAAAAAAAACCCCAAAAAAAATAAATTCCCACATATACAAGTTCTTGACCTCACTATCCAAAACTAGAATGCTTTCTATTCCAAACCCAGGAAGCTTTCTCACAATTTACAAAAATAGGCACCTTTAAGGTGCTGGGCTAAAAAAATGAGGTCAGAAATGTTTGTTTTGATTACTTTTCCTGTCTCTCCTTCATCTTGAATTTATTTCATAGCAGGCCAGATGTCAGAATTTGCAAGGAATTAGCATAACAATGATATACTACCCAGAAAACACTGAAACACTGAGCATACTATTTCTGAAAAAGTTCCAGTCTGCTAAGTCAAGAACCCATGATACTGCCATGCACTGAATTTATCTCAAGTCAGCTACCTACATTTGAAACCTTAAGGGCACTCCAGAACTGCATCCACCTTATTCATTATTGACTGTACCTACTGGCATTTTAAGCCACTTCAATTGTCAGTGTACCAAATACTATTTCAGATTAAAAAAAGACTGCAAAGACTTGGAAAAGTCACAGGGCCACGAAGACAGGAAATGGGACTCTACGTCACATCAACATATTGATGAATATTCATTATAATATGCTAAAGAATTAACTCCTTGTTGTTTCTGACAGGCAATCAGGGGATCTATGGTTACAAACTGAGCAGCAAAGCAGCTACTATTTTTGTGCAATCTTTAATAGCAACAAATGTCTTGCCAATGAATGCTAAAAACAGATTTAATGAACCATTCAATTTTTTACTTTGAGTTAACATCAAAATTGTGATGTATTTTGGCAAGACAGAAAGAAAAGCAGTGCTGTATATTAGGCTGCACCTAGCAATAACACTGTAGACTGTAGTTGCAGTTGTCTGAGTAATCTGTTGCTGTGGAGTAGGTTAATCAAAGTTAAATCACCTGTGAAATGGGTGGCTTTTGTTAAGCCGAATGTCTTCACATCAAGTTTTCCTACCTGTACTTCTGTACATTTAAGGCATGTACTAGATAATGCAGAATCACAGAATATTCTGAGTTGGAAGGGACCCACAAGGATCATACATGAATATACAATGGTCCGTTATTCTTTGAAAAATATTAAAATGCATAAATCCTGCATTCACTGTACCAGCATCCAAGAAGCAAATCCTATACATCAGATTTTTATTACTCTGCTTAATATTTTAATTCTCTGTCCTGGAGATGTCAGCAGACAATTATTCCTCAAAGAGTGGAGTTAACGCACTAATACTGTCTGCAGCCAGCTGTGATTCCACATGCACAGTATTGTACAGCACTAAGCAGCAAGTACCCAGGTAGTCCTGGAAAGCCTTAACTGTGACAGCTGAACAAAATCATATTCCCCTATATACCCATCTTTCTTTGGATTGACTGATTTCTAGGAGAGATCCCAATTTTACTATTTTATAATATATAAGAATCAATTTTCCTAAGGCAGTTTCTCAAATACTTTGAGGTCATAATAATCAACATATTAGTACTGCAATAAAATAATGGAAGTTCTGAGAACTGTTAGAACACCAAATGCCTTCATCTCCTAAGGAAGCCGCCACATTTCTAAATTAATTTAACTGTTACATGAATCCAAAACAAGCATTTCCAAATGCCTAGTTTTACTTGAGGACATGAAGTCTCTCCTATTTAACTCACTTGGTATGTGTTGCCACAAATATTTCCAGAACAACTAGGAATGGTTTTAATCTAAAACTAGTTTACTTCTACTGCCTATCTGTCCTACAAGGCAGACTGGGTGTAGTTTGAATGTTTGTTAATTTAGCTTACAATGAAACTAAAAAACCAGTGCAGCACACAGAACTGGAACAAAGAGAACTATTTAATTTGGTGTTTTGCTGTGGGTTTGCTGGTTTTATTTATTTTATGTGCTGTCCTCCCCCACCAAATCAGACGTTTGCAGAAGTGGACCTAAACAAGCAGAATAACAGCAGAGCATATCTAATAAAAAACTGCTTCTAATTTCCCTTTTCAAAAAAAAGATCTTAAAAAGATCTCCAACACTGAAATGATGAAAAGACACCTGTGAATTTTGTGAAGCATATGAAATATATTTTAAAAAATTATGATGGCCTTCAAGAAATCAGTATTTGTAAGGTGGAATGGATCATTGAGACAACTTTCTGGTAAATGCAAAAATAGATATGACCACTGTTCCACTCCACTACAGCAAACCTCAACTACAGCCTATCTACCGTGTAACTTGTATCATACAATCCCAAGCAATTTCTACTGCCAGCAGGCAGTAGAACTCTTCAAGTACCTAAACTGAGATCTAAGTCTTCAGATTCTATGAACCTGACAGAAGGGAGGAAAAAAGACCTGAGGTATTAGAGAAAGGAAATGCTCAGGGCATGGGAGAAACAAAAGCAGGAAAATGCCAAACACCTACCTGTGCAGGGATACAGATAAAATGAAGAACAGAAAAGAAACACAGTTAAGAGAAAAATCATATCCTCTGGCTCACTGAATAATGAACTTAGAAAGATATAACCTTGCATAAGCACCCAAAAGTTCACATACCAAAGAGCAGAAAAATGCAAAATTATGAATGTAGAAGTAGGTCCTAAAATTGCTAACATAGACACACACTCAAAGTCAGTCATACTAAACAATCAAGAGATTTTGTTGTAGAACTACACACAAACTAGGTCAAGACTAATACTTTCATTTGCAGACATTCAAGTATTTCAGCATGGAAAAGCAAATCTGCTAGCCAACCGTATTTTCTTCAGAAAAAATTATTTTTTGAAAAGCAAACAAGCAATGACTGAAAGAAAGCCTGTGTTCAATTGCCGAAAACAGAAACTGTGTAAGTTATAAATAAATTACTTCCTTCTTTTAAAACTCAAAGTACAAGCTTCAGGTATAAACATATAAATTCTTAAGAAGTAGGGAGGTTAATTCCTAAGTTTGTTGTAGGATACACAGCTTTCAAGTAAGTTCATAGAATGTTAGGGGATGGAAGATGATCTTTAAAGATGATCTAGTTCCAACCCCCATCCCATGGGCTGGACACAGACTGCTCAAAGCCTCATCCAACCTGGCCTTGAACACATGCAGGGATGGGGCAACCACAGCTTTTCTGGGCAACCCCTTCCAGTGCCTCACCACCCACAAAGCAAAGAATTTCCTCCTGATATTTAATCTAATCTCTTCCAGTTTAAAGCCATTGCCCCATGTCCAGTCACCACATGCCTTTGTGCAAGGTCTCTCTCCAGAGCTGGATGCAGCATTCCAGGAGCACAGGAAAGGGGCAGGATCACATCCCTTGAACTGCTGGCCATGCTGCTGAGGATGCAGCCCAGGATATGTCTGGCTTTTTTTTTGGACCACTTCTTGAGTTTGTCCAGGTCCCTCTGGGTGGCATCCCATCCCTCAGGCTGGGATGTTAACTGCCCCACTCAGCTTGGTGTCACCTGCAGGTGTGCTGAGGGTGCACTCAATCCCTCTGTAAGTCAGTGATGAAGATAACAAACAGCACTGGTCCAGTATGGACCCCTCAGGGACACCACTTGTCACTGATGTACACCAGGACTCTGAGATGTTGGCCTCTGGATGCAACCATTCAACCAATTCCTTATCCTAATAATCCACCCATCAAATCCATCTCTGCCCAATTTAGGAAGAAGGATATTGGGGAGGGGTGGGGGGGAGATCATGTCAAAAGCCTTAGAGAAATCCAAAGAGACCCTGTACACTTCCCTTGTCCACTGCTGTAGTCACTCCATGTAGAAAGCCACTGTGGATTCTTGAACATCATAAATGCAAAATATATCCCATTTATTTATCTGCTGTCAGCTAATTAAGCAACTTGGTGTTTAATCTGAACATATACTAGCCGTGTGAAAGTACCACATATTAGTAGCAAGAGTGATGTTACAAGAGATGCAGAATGACAGTAACAGTTAAGCAAAATCTACAAAAATGCAGTAATAGAATTCATATAAATTATCTCACACATCAACTTTCATTTACCTTATTACTAGCACAAGTGCTCGTTCTAATTCAGCCAGTCATCACTATTATATTAAAAGAAACAAAAAATAACTTTATAGTAAAAAAGTAAGCATTCACCTTCCTTGGGCTGAGTCATGACAGGTGTTTGTGTCTCCTTTGTGTAGGTAACAATTTCTCGAGGAGGAAAGTCAACTTGTGTAATTTTAGCCATTCCAAGTTTAACAGGTCCACGTCTAAAAGTCAGAAAAAAACATTTAATTTTATGATTTCACATTTTGCTTAGAATAATACTCAAATCATTATATCACAGCACTGCTTAATCAAACTTAAATCCAGTGGAAACTTTGAAAAGTCACACAATTATGACTACTATTTTATCATCATTATTTAAAATCAGCAACTATTTATGTATCTGTGACAAAAAGGAAGATGTGCACATATAAATATCTGGATATAGGATATAATTTAAAATTTTTGTTCTTTGTGCTTGACCAAAATACTGCCACATATATGATACATCTGTATTATCAGGGGTACAGATCTACTCACAAGTCATGCTTGTACAGCAACTGTTTTAGGATTATAAAGCTTGAACACCAACTTAGTTATACTGAAGGAAAAAGCATTTCCTAGTCTTTTAACTTTGCTGCCCTTGTTTGTCCACCTCTAAGGTACTATCTAGAATGCAGAACTGCCAAGCTGACCTGGAACTCACGCTGACAAATAATTTAGCCATAATACTTCGTTTCAGAGCACAATACCAAAAAGCTCTGAGCTTTCTGACTTTAATGAAGGTAGATATAAGCTAGCATGATACAAAACGTAATATAGTCCAAAACCTGCCCAACATTAATTCAGGCATTGTAGCCTTCTGTAAAACCTAATTGCAGTATGTACTCTAATAATACTGCAATGATCCAACAATTTACCTATATCAGATTTAGTTTCTTCTTATCCACTCCTCTCCCAAGATAAAAGCAGAAGAGTAACTCCTTTTGAAAGGTTTTGGTGGGCAGAGTCATATTTCTTAGCACACAATACAGATTTTAGTTAGTGCTTATAATGAGCTACAGCTTTTATAAACATATTTGTAAGAAAAGATGGGAGTTGCTCTGTTTATAAATACAGTACTGCTAACCTTTTTATTTCAAATAAATGCACTTCTAAAAGATTATACTCTTCTAAAATACTATATTTTTCTCAATATATTTCTCAGACTTCTAAAAGATTATATTTTCTCCAAGAAAGACTCAAAGAAAACAAAACTTGCGTTTATTGGAAATAAGCATCTACTGTATATTAAAGTATATCAAATTTTCCCATTGTAAGCAAACCTTGCTAAGTCTAGGGACAGCAAATTTCTATTACTTACAAAATAGTTTCTTAACAACAAGAACAAGTACAAGTCTTAAAGCAAAAAATGCTCATACTTATTATCTATAAGCACATGAAAGAGGGAATATAAGAAATCTATGCAATACCCCAGATCGGAATCAGAGTGGAGCTGAAGAACTGATGGATCAGTATCCCAATGCAGCGTCCTGGTACCCCAGGTTGAACAATCATGCAGCATTAGCAAAAAAGGCCAGAGATTAGTGAAGCAAATATACACTATGAAATTCTAGAGTTACAGCAAGCTTATAGTTATTTTGTTGTTCACAAGAAACAAGGCAATGCAACATCAGTTAAGGGAAATTCGGCAAACATTCAGTGCAATAACACATGCAGTAAATACAAAAGTTAAGAAGCAAACAGAATTCAGAGCTATTAGCAAAGAACTAAATTATTTTAAAGGTTGAAAATTAAAGGTCTGCAAACAAATGCTGCCTTAATGAAAGGCAAATAAAAGTATTTTAAATACTGATAAGAACTGCTAAAAAACTTGAAATTCTTTTTAAAATATGTTCAGGTTTGTAATATGAAGACAGATTTGTTAACATAACGTAAACTTGCCCAGAGCAGTAAATATGTGGAGGAAACTGTCATATTGGTAAAGGAAATGAGTCAACACATAAGCCTTTTGGTAGTGGGGCAAAAGAAGCATTTCCACTGGGATAAAGAACTGCTAGAGTTTCCAAGATGTGACATTGCAGTAATTATGGGTTAAGCACTGCCTTGGGCTTGTAAGTGTCATCTGAGTTAGAGCCAACTCCATCTAAGACACTTAAAATCTCTTATAAATTGTGGGCTTTATATTAATAATATGTTTCAAAGTCATGTGGAATAACAAACAGAATGGTTCCATTTCAAGCTGTACTAGAAGAAATAGCAAGGGGGAAATCAATATTCCCTCTACCTTCATTTCTAGCCTTCATCCCTTCTTTAGCAATTTTCATGTAGTCTACTGGCTATCAGGCTTAAGCAGAATTTTAGAAACACACTTGTAAGATTAACAGATTCACCTGCATGTTTTTTTTCTGACAGGCTCATATGCTATCTACATTTTTAAAAATAATGTTTCTGAATAAAAAAATAAAGAATATGCAATATTTTAGTATGATAAGTCAATAAAAGACAATTTTACATTTTCATCCCATACACGGTAATTTTCTGTTAACTAGGTGTTAGGAATTCCTAAAGCTAAAGTTGATCTGAAAAATATACATGTAATGCCATAAAAGCTCATAAATATGGGTGTGCCATGCACTACCTTGTTCTAGTGGAAAGTGTGAATTCGGACTATTAATCATAACTTAATTAGGAATTACAAATGCATTGTCTTCATATATAGCCAGTCAACTGCATCCACAGCAATAGCTTAATACCCAAATCTCCAAAATCTTTCCATATCTTTTGTGCATTAAGAGAACCCATGATTTTAGCCTGAAGTTAATTACTTTGAGCATACTTATTCGTTAGATCTCTGCTATCTTTCTTGACCAAAGAGATTTAAGCTTAAGGGTTTAATATGGTCCATGAGACTTAAACCTGGGTATTGCTTATATGTTGTACAACCATAAGCAAAATCAAACCACCATCCCAACCTTCATGTTGCAAAGAATAACTTGGCTTCAGATACAGATGCTGCATCAGCACAACACCTGTCCAATATTTTCTCAACTTTTTCAATCGTGTTTGAGAGGAACTCGGGGAAAAGGCTATAAACATAAAATGCTCCAACTTCTGCACCTGTTTAAGATCTAGCCCTTAATGAGGTAGCTTTCCTGCTTTCAAAGTATTATTTTCATTTCCCATGCTTCACTGGGACCAGGGAGAGTCTTTTAAAATAGTTGAAGCTAACAAGTAGTACAGGAGATAGGGTTAAATACTTCCCTGAGATACTCTTTTAAAATGAAGGTAACGTTCGAAGATAAATTCCACCTCTTATATATACACCAAAATGATGCAAAATACTGTTTTTGTTTTCCAGTTTGTTTTGCCTTCAGTCAAATGAATTTATCTACAAGCTTCAGTGAACAAATTTCCCGTTCTTCCACATATGTCCAGGTTTCTCTGTATTCAGGCACTTTCCTAACAATTCCTATATAGCTAAAAATATTTTCTGTTTTCAAACTAATTCTATGAAGCATTCACCATCCTAAAAGTAAACCAGTTGTATTTTTTTTTTTTGAGTGTAGGACTTGCAGTCTTGACTGAGGAAAAAAGAGAAAGAACCAGAATCAAACTAGGAAACAAAACTCTTTACTAACGAAAATAAAGCAAGACAGATGGAAGTAACAGCAGGAGCACAGTCTGAACACTGCTCCACTACTTACTGAAAGAGTTACTGACAAGATTCAGCATCACTGAAGAGGTGATGAGATATATTTATAATGAATCTCAAATCAGCAGGAGTCACCTATGAAATGCCACGTGTAACACCAAGGGATATCATACAGTCCAACTTTCATGTCCAAAATGTATGAACTTGTACTAATAAACCAGGATGTGGACACCCATTTCCTGGGGGAAGGGAAGAATCCACTGGGGGGAGAACAAGCAAGGGGACTCCAACAGGGACTCCATAATGCCTCCAATTTAGCTGTACATACACACCACCATTCCGTAAAGATCACAATCCTGAGACAGATTTCGTTTCAAGGTTTGAAAATGCATGAAGCTTTTGAGACTCAGGACATGGGTTTTCTTAATGCTTCGTAAGAAAATGCATGCATACAACATTGCATTACTATGTCTGAGAACACACAGTCAGAGTGCAGTGATGATGTGGAAATAAATGCAGTATACAACGTGGCATTCCATTCCAGGTATATGGCCTATGCATACAGTTCCATACTGAATTTACGTTAGGTGTGAATGGAAAGAAAATATTTTCTTTTAAAAAATCATCACCAAATATTTTTTTTCTTCTAGTGAACATAAATGCATATATAAATATATTTTAAAAAGACAATTTTAAAAGACAATTTAAGCAATAAACAACAATTTAATTAATAACAATTTGCTTGCCACTCAATTAAGGAACGATTATATTGGTTAATTAACACAACAGGCAAACAAGATCATACCTGAGCACTCTTAACAAAAAGTTTGGGTTCATATCTGCTGTCTGATGTATTCTCTGTTTTAGCTGAATGATTTCTACTTAGAAGTAGGCACCACATAACCTTTGTTCATTAATCTCTTGAATATTTTCAGATTAAGATGCATATAGTTATTTATGCATAATCCACATGCATACAAGATGTTACTGCAGTCTTTTTGTAAGATGTTTCAAAGTAGTCTAACCTCAGACTTCTTTTCCAAAACAACCACTCATACAACTACAGTGACTGATAACTGCTGCAGTTACTTTAACTGAACTTCAGCCACCATGTATACTTACTAAATTTCAACTACATGAACTTCACTTGCTGAGAATATCTTACCAATATTAATAGGCAGCTACTGTTCTTATTTGCAGACTCTGCATGGGAAACAGCAGAAATACCCTTTGGAAGTAATGTTTTCCTGCCTTATCACCCTTACATCACCACGTGAAATATTTAAGAGAAATTTTTATCTGACTCTTCTTTAGAGTAGCATGTCTCAAACCATCATGCTCAAAGAAATGGTCAAATGTGACAAGTACTGGCACTGAAAAAAGACCAAAACAACAGTGGCTGTACTAAGATGAAGTTGTTTTGACAAAATAAAAGACTGCAAGCACTGAAGTTGTGCCACACAGATGAAGTAAAACAATGAGAAATATGGTTCTGAGTAAGGGAAAAAATAAAATCAGAAGTAATGCAAAGTTTGTAGACAGTACCTTTTATTAGATCAACTAGGTATGGGAAAAAGCAAATAGCCTATCATCCATATTCATCCTCATTTAGAAAAAACTGGTAGGAGTGCAAAAGTTAGACTTTCTGAGTTTGCTATTGTCCCAAGACACTCATTTTACTTCAAACTTGCAAGTGTAAACAACTTCACATTAATGCTGGCAACCTCAAATCAGGAAGTATAGTTGCATTTCAAATTTTAAAGTGAAGTATTTCTGCAAAACAGTCACTTTTGACAGACTCAACACTGTAACCTCATAGTATTATAATCAAATAATTAACCACGATTTTCTTCTAAAGCTTAATTATTCAGAACACAGGTATGGAGCAAAGGAACACGAGAAGGAAAGTGACATACCTCGATCCAACAGCACCATCCCCAGAGTCCTGGCTCCCAGCCTCGCTTGGGGTACTCACGGATTTGGAGGACGGAGAGGTAGGAGGAGGGACTAAATAGTGAAACAGACAGGTATCCGCTGTTACTACTCGCAGAGGGTGCACAGCTTAGGATGTTTGCAAATTAATTAAAAATGAAGTATTAAAAAAAAAGTGATGGCAAAAAAAAAAAAAACATGGATGAAAATGAACAGTAGAAAGAGAGGGGAAAAGACAATGTTAACAATTCATGCTGGATTTTCATGCAATTGTTTGGCATTTATGCATCTGGAGCATGGAGGGGAAGACATTTAAGAGAAAATGAGTTGAAAAAATATTTTTAAACTGAACTTTTGACAAATGATGACACTGATTTTCAAAGGGTAAGTTCCACTGATTCGTATTGCTTAAACATAGCAGAGACAGTTGTTAATACAGCTCTGACATTAGTCTTAAAGATTAGACAATGAATGTGTTTAACTGGCAATGTTATTTCAAAATATACAATCACCAAAAAAGTGGCTGTGTCATACAGCATTCTGTTATTTTTCTTCTAGGCTGAATCAAATCAACATAAATCTTATGTATTACAAAGTTTCTAGTATTAAGTCTTGATAATTACTTTTTTTTTTTTGCTTGACAGTAAACAGTCTAGTACCACTGTATTTAAACTTCTTAAGTATCGGTTCATTTCCTGCTAGCAGATGAAGACTGCACTTTACCACTTGAAAAGTAACACTCTTTCTGGAAGTGATATAAAGTGAATGATATCATGCAATCTGATACAAATGCAAAGCTACTTCCCTATTTCTTTCAACTTTTCTTTTTAGAAATGGTCATTTTTTAAGGAAACTTAGGGTTTAAACACAAGAATTAAGGGGTGTTTTGAAGGTCCTTCTATGCTTCATTTTTCAGCAATATGCAAAGCGTTCACTGCTTAGCAACCCTCAAAAAACCCTTTAATCAACTGAAGACAAATTATTTATGTAAACTGCTGCCTACTCTGTCAACAGTTAAGCATGGGAGAACTCTGAAATTAGGTCTGCAAGGTTTCTACATAATTTCTTGAAATCACAAGTATATTGTGAATGCTAAAGAATTTTTCTACCTCATCTCAAAACAGAGACATGGCTCTGATTTACAAAAATTCTCCCTTAATTTCACCAAAGTAACAGTGAATTCTTCAATTTATTAAAATTTCATTCCTCCTAGCGGAGAGACCTTTTCTCTAAGTCTTGAGTTGTATTTTATAAATTCACACACATACACATTTAGACTTCATACTTCTATAAGTGGGGGCATGTATAAATTCTTCTACTCCTCCTTGCAGGTATCGGTTAACCTCCAGCAGGCCTTGGCTTTGCCCTCTGTGGGCATTTTGAGGACAGGGCGAGGTCGCGGCCCAGCGCCACTCGCAGGGCTCAGCGCTGGTGCTGCAGCGCTCTCTTGTGGGGAAAGCGACTCGGGAAACCCTGCCCCAAACTGAGGGCAGTCCCGCGGAAGGACCAACAGTCTGATATGATAGACATCAAAACACACTAACACTGATACAGCCCCTTCTCCTGTAACAGAGCACTCTCTCTCTAGCAGTTAACAGCACAGGAATTGACTTAGGAATTCACATAATTTTCTAGGAAAGAATCTAATGTCAAGCAACCCCCCTCCACTGACAGTGTGAGCACAAGCTACCTCAGCGGCACACCAACCAGCTCAGCCACGAGGTAGCACCAGCTCAGGCATACAATCGCTGTACCTGCTGCCATCCAGTCAGCAGAAAAGGAGCTTGAGCCTTTGGCATACCAACTGCAGGCAGCAAGTAGGACATTTTAACTTAAGCATCCATATCGGACCTGGTTATCTCGAAAGGAGACAGACTGAATGCCCTGCATGCACTGAGGGTTTGATTAAGCAGCAGCTCAGTGGAATTAAACACAACATGGAGGGGTGTGTTCCACTCTTGCATGTCAGCACCTCTCAGTTTTTCATTAACACCTACTCTGAGCATATACATTAACCTGCTTTGAGGACTGGCCATTCTGTGGCTTTCAGATTCTCTGCCAGGTGTGAAAAAAAACCAACAACCACATACATTCCTACCAAAATTTCATCAACTGCCTTAGCACAGCATCATGCAAGGGAAGTGTTCAACTGTTAGTCTGCAAAGAAAATCTGTAGCAGGTCAGAAATGATTTCTTAAACAGCTGCACATTGGTACTAACACAGCAAAATGGAGTCTCTCGACTATTAAATTACCAAAATGGTAATTTACTGGTAAATTACCAGTTTGAGTTACCAAAAATGACTGCTGGGGCTGTTGGAATCTGAGCAGCTATAATACTGTTCACGTTTGAACACTTGAGTATTCCACAAAAGCAATTATGAAAATACAATCGCAGCTATATCTGTAAGAAATTATTACTATTTTATTTACAAACCCAGCTGAACAGAGCCTCACCAAGAAGCTAAAGTGATAAGCTTTAAACCCCTTTGATTTCAGAGTTGGAGACAAAAAGCAGAGTTGCATTATCATATTCCTTGCTTTCATCTTCCATAGGGATGTGCCTAAGTAAAGGCAAGAAGCAAGAGCCAATATGCTAACACACCCAAGAGCTGCACAGATACCAATCATCACCCTTGGAAGTTAATTTTTATACTTAGTTTGCTATTGCTCCATCAAAATCAGTCAGGTATTTGAGATAAGAAAAACTAGGGTGTAACAGATGTGGATAGGAAACAAGCCAACTCCATACATTAAAATTTGGCATTGTGGAAAAGAGTAAGGAAAAAAATACAGGAAAATAATGAGCATGAAAAACAGGAGGGGAAAAGAAAATACATACATGATATTTTAACTAATATATTTCAAATAATCCACTAAGTGTAAATGGTGTTATTTTATAAAATAATGTAATTTGATGTGTACTGAAGCACATAATTTGACATTTATAACAGAACATGAAGGGCAAAAGAGTATAAAACCCAGACATACATAACCCCCAAAAAAGTGTCCAGAGAATTATTATGTTAGTTATATAAATACCTCAATCCTAAAAAAAAAAAAAAAACAAAAAAACCAACACAACAACAGACCACCACCACAAGAAAACCCCCAAAAACAACAAAGCCAACAAAGCCCCAAAAAACACCTCACCCAAAAAACAGACTAAACAAAAATCTCCCAAACATTTACTTCAAACAAATAGTAACATTCCTACCAACAGGAGACTCAGGTGTCAACCCCATGCTCTGAAGCAATGCTTCCGCTTCTCTCCTCTTCTTTTCAAGATCAGATTCTTCTTGTACTGGAAGAACTTCTTTCTTCTGGTCAGTCTAAAAATTATTTAATAATTAAGTTACAGCCTTTAACCTTTCATTTATTTTGATACCACACAGGGTTTTTGTAATACTGAATCCTATCAAGTATATCAGATACTCAATTTCAATAATTCTGATGGTTCTTTTTTGTAGACAAAATAGAGAGGAATAACAATGTTTCAAAGCTTTGGTACAGTCTTCAAAGGACATATATAAATATGCAAAAAGCGTCTGTGTATTGTGCCAAAACAACTAACACTTCATAAGACTGAACACCTTTTTTTACACCAATCCTAAGCACTGTAAAATGCAAATAACGACAAAAACACCTGCACCTGGGTGTAAAAGTATTTTAGAGATAGTCATGTGGTTCCTATTTTAAAATTACAATAACCCTGTCAAAGAAGTTTTCTTTGTGTTATCTGCTAGATATAACAGGATAGGTGTAAAGAAATACACCCCCACCCTCTTTCATTTAGAAATAGGGCAAGCTCTATTGCAAAATATGCTGAACACTCTGTATCCTACTCTTAGTTAGCTGCTTTTTAAAAAAGCAGTTCTGGTAATACACTGCTACAAGGTCATCAGGACATAATTTGAGCTATTTCTTTCTCCTTTTTGTCTGAATCATGTGGTTGGCAGCTGCCCAGCCTTCAGTCACATGCTGATTTAGAACACCAACTAGATCAAAACCAAAACACAGAAGTAATGAAAAAGTACCCAAAACATACCAGTAAAAGTTTCTTTTATGAGATACAATTTGCATTCAGGGGAACAGTAATCTATCACTGACTGTCACATACTCCAACAGTGAGAAATCCAGAAGACTGTTAACAAACTAAAAGTAACACACAAGCACCATACACATCCTGCGTGTTGCTCATTTTAAAATTCAGTGTATAGACAGGCCAAAGAGCAGAACATAGCACATATCATTGTACTGTTTGTACAATGATAATACTGACAGTCAGATAATTCCTACAGACATCCTCAGAACCTTCATACTTCAGAAATGAGTTCTTTAGATTACACCTATCACAACTCATTAAGCAGAGCTTTCAGGCAATGGATCGGAGTGATTTGATTAATGATGTCACATGCACAGAGATAGTCCTAGAAATCTGAACTTTATGCTAGTGTAAATTACTAATTTTTAAATATTTTTAAAATCTAGCTTATCATACAGACAATTGAAAAGAAAACAGTAGGTGTTTACATTATCAGAAAATGAAAGTGCTACATTTACATTAGCACCAACCATTAAATAGACACTCCCTGAACATGACACAGAAAATGATTGATAGATTATGGGAAACTACTCTTAAATTTTGGGCAAGTAACAGATGCAAGTCAAAGTGAAAATTATTTCTTACTTCTTTCTTCTTTCTTTCTTCCTCCTTTCTCTTCTTCTCCTCTCTGATTTGAGCTAATCGTTGCTTCTTGCGCTCCAACTCCGCCTTCAGCTCGCTTTTGTCAGACATGGCTGAAACACTGATCAACAGAAATCATGTCACTCTTTGGCTTCTGTTTTGTTTGGGTGGGTTTTTTTTATTTTTGTTTTGGGGTTTTTTTAAATTTTTTTTTTAGATAGCAGCTTTTCTTTCCAAAAGCTGTCTGCAAAGACATAGCTTACCAAAACCAGCTTATCAGAAGCCTGAGTCAATAATAATTGAAAAAACCCACATTCCTGTTTCTAGTTTTCTGTCACTTAACACATTCTCAGTACTAAAGTGATTGATTTAAAACAGATAGAACCATGATATGATGACAGCATCCATTTCTAAGGTAGGTCTGATGGAATTACTTTGAAAGAAACCTTAGGCACTGAAGATGTGAGTATTTGATCTTGCCATAAGATTTTTTCAGCTACAAAACCACCTGCAAGACTGAAAAAAGCAAGAAAAGCAGCAAGACAATATTTCTCTTTCATTTTTCCATTCAACAGCTAAATATTGGCATGTTATAACTTAACAGTATGTAAGTATACAGACCATTCTATGATTGAAACCTTCTAAAGACCATTATATGATTCAAGGTAAAGATTTATTAAAACATTTAGTAGGATTACTATAAATGATAAAGAAAACTGTAAAACACATGCACTATAATTTTTTTTTTCAAAACTCTTACACTGCTAATAAATTGGTGATCATTTAAAGACAAAAATGCTGCAGAAAGTTTTGCTATGTAACTAACTCAAATACAAACAAGAAGGTCAACAACAAAAGGTGGAAACCCTGTAAGTTTAGAACTCCACAAAGATTTAGAACACAGGTAAGAAACACTGGGTGAAAGGGCTAGGTGAAGAAGAGCTTAATTTTACTGTTTGTAAGTAAAATCGGGCCAGCAAAGAAAATGTACAAGAGGTCCTACAACAAATGAGACAACTATAAATGCTTTTACAGTAAGTCTGACAATAAGGATACAATATTGAGCGTTAGTAATGTGACTATATGCTAGTTCAAAATAAAGACTACTTGCAAGTGTTTCATAGCACAGCTAAGCACAGAAAGGGATGCAAAATGTTGCAAGCCTCGTACATCTAACCTCACATCTTAGCAATACGTATACCGGAGTGAGTATGTGTATTCCTTCATGTCGCCTGTTAGCACTAAGTGCTAATAAATAAATTAATAAATAACCTACAGTCAGCATTTTCAAACGGCATTCCCTTTAATGACAGCACTAGGAAAGCGCGCTGTCACACCACGGACTGCCGCCCGTCCAGCGCCGGCCCGGGGAGGGGAAGCAGCACAGACCGAGCGGAGCCGAGGGAAGGGGAGCCCATCCCACCCCGCCTGGAGATGCCCGCGCCACAACCCTGGCCCGCCTGGACCACAGTCCGCACCCAAGTCGCACAGGGGCCGAGCGCCCGGCGGCCCGGACAGGGGCGGCCCGCGAGAAGCGGCGCTCCCGGCCTCTCACTCAGCGAGCCCCGGCGCGGGCCGCCCCCGGCCCCACCCGGCTGCCACAGCCCTCGCTGCACGGGGCGAGGCCGAAGGAAGGCGCGTTCCCACCGGGCGGCAGCAGCGCTGGGCGCGGCTCCTCCCGCGGCTCGCTCCCTGCGCACCTGTCCGCGGCTCCTCCCGCGGCTCGCTCCCTGCGCACCTGTCCGCGGCTCCTCCCGCGGCTCGCTCCCTGCGCACCTGTCCGCGGCTCCTCCCGCGGCTCGCTCCCTGCGCACCGGTCCGCGGCTCCTCCCGCGGCTCCCTCCCTGCGCACCGGTCCGCGGCTCCTGCCCCGCGCCCGCCGCCCTCGGCCCCGCGCCCCTTCCGCCGCCGCACAAAGGCGCCGACAGCTGGCAGGCAGCTGCCGACGGCAGACGCCGAGGGTCAAACCAGCTCTGAAGGCGTTGCGGAATGCGCGGAAATCTACGGGAACTGCGGAAGGACACTGAGATCTGTGCAGTAAAACACCCAATGCCCCACTCGTCAGTACCGTAAGGGCCGGCAATCGGAAAGGAATTAACACGGAGAACGAGCGCGAAGCGACACAGGAACAGGACCGTTCCCGAGTCCCAGTGCCACACCCCTCCCGCTGGTCCCTGTCTAGGGAGGCCCGTTGGAGAACAACGACACCCAGCATGCAGCGCGCACCGCTGGATAGACTCCGTCGCCGGCTCTCCCCGGGCGTGGCCGCGCGTTGCATGATGGACGTCGTAGTCTTCCGGAGTGGGGACGCGCTAGCAGCCTGCGCTTGGCGCCCGCAGGGCGCGGGGAGCGAGCGCCACCGCCTGCCGTGGAGTGCGTGCGCGCATGCGCGCCGTGCCCCGGTTCGCTGATGGCCGCGGCGCGCGGCGAGTTCCCCTCACGGACGGCTCGGCAGCGGCTCCGGGCAGGGCAGAGCGGGCCCAGGCGGGATCCCTGTGCGGGACCGCGCCCTCGCCTCTGCTTTGGCTTCCGGGCAGTGAGGGACGATCCACGTTAGGCCCCTCCCGCAGCGGAGCCTGAAAACCAGTCGTGTCGGTGGAGCTGTATGGTTTTAACCGCGGGGCCCACGTGCGGCCGGTAACCATAATCCCCGCAGTGACCTGGGGATAACGAGTGTAAAAGCCTGCTGCGGTGTGAGCGGTGACAAAATGGCCACCGCAGCCACTCTGTGCACGGACACACTCCGGGTCAGCCGGGGGCGCTGGGCTGCCCTGGCGACATGGCGGCTCCCGTCAGGAGCGTCGGGCAGCAGTGGGCTTCCACAGCTCCTTTTGGTACAGCTCCAAACCGGTAGCAAGCGACTTTGCTGTTTCCCACTCGTCCTAAACAAATATACTGTCATTTGTATCCTGTGGAAGCCCATATCAAAATCCTGTAGCCGTTTTTGGTAACTGCTGGGATGGTGCTACTGCTTCTGTCTCAGTGAAGTGCAGGGCCCCCAGCCTGCTGATCTGCCAGAACTGTGCTTAGCAAAGCAGAATTACAGGGAAGATTGCTGTAGTTCAAGTGGAGTGTGTGTTCACAACGCCCTATGAGACAAAGCTTTTAGAGGCAGTAACTCCAGAGCAGGTTAAATGTTCTGCTATTACAGAATTGGAATAGTTTACTTGCAATGACTGGATCTACAAATAGTTATGCCTGGTGAGTGTATTTTGAAACTTGTTCTGACAAACACTGGAAAAAGGTTTCATTTGCAGTCTGGCTTTGCAGCAGTCCTGTTAGGTATAATAAACTGAACAGGTTGGTTGGTACTTTGATGGGATAGCTGCTAGGACAACTTCAATTGCTGCACTAATCAGTGTTGATTATTTATTCCACTGTAGCCTTCCATGTGAGGCAGGGTTCACACTGTACCTTAAAAAGTTTAGAAAAACCTTCTGTTGTTTAGATGACTTCTGATAATTTAATAACCTTCATACATTTTGTAAGAGTTTCTCATCTCTTTCCTGTTCCTGCTAGATGGACGTATTTCTTTTCTGTCATGTCAGAATAAGGTGATGATGAATGGTGGGTCCTTTCTGACACGAAAACCCTTTTGCAGTCTGGTAACCTTTAGCACAAAACATACACGAGTGGATGGTCCAGCACTTGAGGGTGATTCCCTGCCAAGCACTATAGAAAACAGGTTTACCAGCGGAAAAATTCCGAGTTCTCCTTCCTCACTGCGGTCCGCATATGGCACTCTCAATTGTTTTTCTGTTATGTGGCTAAGACAGGAGTTAATGAGAGCTTCTTAATGGATACTGTAATTCACCAAAACCTGCACTAGTTTGATTGGGTTTGTGAGAGAGTATGAGAAGTGCCAGGAGGTCAGCCCGAGGGAACTATTTTCAGATGTATTGTATGCTAGGCTGTATTCTGCCCTCAGTTGTGCACTGTTTCCCACTGACCTTTATGGAAGTTTCTGTACTCATCATAAGAGGAGAATATGTTTGAATATTTGTTAGGATGATAACAGATTCTTTTGTATGAATTATGTTAGCATTACTAGCCAAAAAGATCGGAGGGTAAATAAGGAGACAGAAAGTGTGCTCTTTTTTTTCTATTGTAACTGTTAGCTCTAACAGTTAAATTTTAGTATTTTCACATTGTTGTGAGCTTAGTTGAGTCTCTGACTCACAGCAGCAGTCAGCTCTATTCAGTAAAGACTGGGGCCATGGAGTCATTTTTCTGAAAACAGAAATGGAATTTGTTCCTTTTCTGGTTCTTTCATAAGAAACTTGCCAGTGTGTTGGAAGAAGCCCTGAAAAATTACATGCATTCAGAGTGCAGCTAAACTATGAAGCAAAGACATAAGCATCAATTTTTCATATAAAATTTTTCTCACTATATCTCCTACCACTCAGCTTAAATCTTTGCTTTTAACATAAGTTGCAAGACAGTAGATAGTTGAAAATGCATTTATTACTAGCATATTTACAAAACACTTGAGCAGAAAGGAGATGGCAAGATTTGACTCAATGGAAAGATGAACACTAACATCTGTCAAGACCTGTGAGATGACACCTAGGGTTAAAAGCATTTATTGAAGAAAAATTTGGATTTCTTGTCTCAAAACCATGCGTGATGGGAAACATGGACACTTACTTAGGTCTATACAAGTTCAAACACACATATATATATACATATATTCCTGCTAAAGCTATGTGATTTGATATTTGAAAGGAAGCCTTTGGAGTGGAAGGCACCATATATAATTTGGAGTGTTATTAAAATCATATCTGCATGGAATAGTTCATAACTTTCATCCTAACAAGGAAATTAACAACTGAATCATGCTTATGTAGTTTCTGAGCTTTTCTTCCTGCCACATTTCAGAAGCTGACAGAGTTATCCTTGTGACACAGGTGTGAAGTGCAGGTGACAAATACCATACAGAGTTTTACAGGAGTTAACTCAAGATCAGTCACAGATGTTCAACTGATGCTGAAAAATTGCCCTTCCTTCTCTTAGTCCCGTGATCAGTTCAGAAGAAACAAATTTTCTTAAATATCAAACAGTATTTAGAAGTGAGCATTTTAAGTGAAGGCAAGCTCTAAATTTATGAAGTTCAAACATGACCTCGATAGGGTGGAAATTTTTATGGGCCGTTGTTTGAACTGCTGATATGCACTAAAGCAAATTTCGTATTTATTTCCACGGGGAAGGCAAACTGCTTTTCATAGAAAAGGATCAAAAGCATCCAAGTGGATATGCTATGTTAATAATAGGAGGTGGGACAGTGAGGGTAGAAGAACTGATGGGACACTTATGGTTCAAAGAATTCAGCACTTTTCATTCATGCTGGAAAAAATGCAAATTATGTCACCCTCGCCTCCCAGTGCAAAGTTATCAGACAGACAACCACTAAGTGATACTGCTGACATTAGAATGGCTGGAATGTTATTTACTTCTATTTATTTCTTTGGAAATCTTACAATATCTTATTGCAAATGAAACAAAAATCCACATATAATGGTGTAAGAAACAAAGGTTTGTCTGCAGGTTCAGTGCTGGATTATTGTTCTCTCTCAAAGCTAACTGAAATCCAAGATGTTTGTATCACAGCTGTAATGAGACACTGACAAATACCTTTCTGCCCCAGTGGAAATGTAATCTTTCTATTGAACATTTTGTCCTGGTAAATTCCATCTGCAATAGGCACAGGCATTTTGCATTTGAATCAAGGTCACTCCTTTGGATCAGATGATGGAGTGTACACTCCACTTGCCTTTAAATGAAATTGATCCTTTACTGCACTGAACATAAGACTGCATTTTTTACACCTAATTATCTTATTGTTTCATCTAAATGAATTTGGAATGCTAACATTACCACCCCTTTTTGATCTTTGCACGTATCAGTGAGACAATTCTCTGAAAAGCCTTATTTCTTAGACAGGAATGCTTTAAAATATTCTGTTGCATTTCTTTGCTAAATAAACCAGAATAAAATCAGTGTTTCATTTGTTGATAGAATTGAATATTTGATAACATTTCCCTCACTTTTGCAGCAGTAACACAATAGTTCTATGTATAATTACTCAAACTTGTTTAAGTAATCTTCTTAGTACCTAGTAACTACATATTCAACATTTTGGTTGTTTTACTCATGAACAATGCCATTGACTTCAGTGAAGAGAGGCATCATAAAACTGAATGGCAGCTGCACTGTGTTCAGTCTTCAGTGTTAAAACTTTCATCACCTTTGGAAATGTGACTTTTTTTTTTTTTCTTTTTGTTTTTTTAATATAAAGTAAATTGTACTGAGTATATGTACAAAAGCATGTTAGATTATTTTTACCAAAACAAGGGAAGAAATCTGTAGCTATGGAGGGGCTACTGTGCAATGCATAAATAGCAGCTAGGTCTTTGCAGGTTTGAACCTGTTCTTATTTAAATCAATGGAAATTTCACTGCTGATTGCAGTAAATGCTGCATCGAGACCCCCAAAAATCAATTAAATGTGTTCTTAATAGGCTCTCATGCCTTTGAAAATCTTTCTCTAAATTACAGATGGAAACCAATCAATTAGGCCTTAGAATTCATTTTATTAAAATAAATCCCACAATATTGTGCAAAATTAAATATAATGCTTAGATTTACTGGCTTTTATTTGTCCAGAAAGATTAAGCAATATCTGCTATTATCAAACAACCTTGTTTTGTTTGCTGGAACGTGTGGGACTCAACAGAATGCTGATGTGACTCTGTATATTTTGAATTGTTTCTGCACTGCAAAGAACAGTGCTGGTACTAGGAAGTTGAGCAATGAGAAATTGCTCTGTCAGGGCATGGACTAAAATTAATTTTAAATAGACTTTTTATGTGATATTCTAGTAATTGGAAATTCTGATTTAGTATCTGCTAAGAAAATGTTGAAAATGCTTTTATAATTTTCTTAACTAAATAAAGTTCAATAACAGTGGATACCAAAAATATAATTATTAAGGAAGATTATTTTTAGTGTAAAAAACCTGTGGCTTGTTCTGATTTGTATTAATTTAGAATCTTTAATT